CTTTTGCAATTTCTTTTTGTTTAGTTCTTCACGAACTTTGAGGAGAATTTTACGAGAGAAAAAAGGCAAGAGTGGTGAGAATATCAGAGGGTAAAAGTCAATATTGAGTGAAACACGAGTGTTGAGTGTTAATTGATCGAGGGAAAACAGGTGAGGGAGTGAGTGAGGTCTTTTGCATGATGTCTCAAGAAGATAATGCAGGTAGCAATCGAAACGATAGAGGAGCAGTTGACAACGAAATCATTCAAGTGATGCAGCAAAATTTCGAACGACTAAATGTGGTACTCAATGAATTTCGAGATCGACTCGAAATAAATGAAGATCGAATGGATCGACTCCATCAAGTTCGTGATCTGCGACCGAGGAGAAACAATCAACGACAACGTGCACCTTTGCCAGACTCTGCAGCGGAATATTATGAGGAGTCTCATGATAATGATGGAGATGCGGTTTCCTTGGTCACTATACCGAGAAATCGTGGAGGAAGGGATGAGGTGCCACGACAAGTCCGAAGAGACCATCGTGAAAGGAACGGTGTAGATCAAAATTTGGGGTCCATCAAACTATCTATCCCGCCTTTCCAAGGTAAAAATGACCCTGATGTCTACATTGAGTGGGAAAGAAGGGTGGAGTTAGTCTTCGATTGTCATAACTATTCTGAAGAGAAGAAGGTAAAACTTGCTGCTGTAGCATTTACAGATTATGCTATTGTTTGGTGGGATCAACTAACCTTGTGTAGACGTCGAAATCGGGAGCAACCAGTTGGAAGTTGGGAGGAAATGAAAGCTGTCATGAGAAGAAGGTTTGTGTCTTCTCATTATTATCGGGATTTACACTTGCGGTTGCAAAGTCTTAAACAGGGAAATAAGACAGTTGAGGAGTATCATAAAGAGATGGAGATCGCTATGATCCGTGCTAACATCGAAGAGAACCGAGAGGCAACCATGGCTCGATTCGTCAATGGCCTTAATCGAGAGATTAGCAATGTGGTGGAGTTACACCATTACGTAGAGCTCGAGGAAGTGGTGCATATGGCAATGAAAATAGAAAGACAACTCAAAAGGGGTCGAACATCTTCACGATTTGAAGGGACTAGCTCGAGTTCGAGGTGGAATACTAAACTCGAGGGGAATAGTTCAAGATGGAACTCAGGGTCAAAGCACGATGAGAAATCACCTTTTAAAGCAAGAGGAGACAAAGTCGCTGCCAAATCATCGTTTGACTCGACAGAGAAGGGTAATTCATATTTCTTACCATAAAAAAATCGTGAAATTAAATGTTATCGATGTTTGAGAGTAGGTCATATTGCTTCTCAGTGTCCCAACAAGAGAACTATGATTATGTTAGAGAATGGGGATATTGAAACTGATGCAGAAGAAGACAACGACTCCATGCCATCACTTGAAGATGTTGATGAGGTAGAACATGCTGTCACGGGGCAAGCCCTTATTGTTTTGAGAGCTTTACATGTGCAAGCTAAGGAGGATGGGGATGAACTACAAAGGGAGAATATCTTTTATACTCGATGTCATGTGAAAGATCGGGTATGTGGATTGATTATAGATGGAGGAAGTTGTGTGAATGTGGCTAGTTCTTTGATGGTGGAAAAGCTTGGTTTGCGCACCAAAAAGCATCCGAAGCCATACCGACTTCAGTGGTTGAATGAAAGTGGTGACTTGAAAGTAACCAGACAGGTATTAGTCTCATTTTCTATTGGGCGATACTCTGATGAAGTTATGTGTAATGTCGTGCCTATGCATGCTAGTCATTTGTTGTTGGGAAGGCCATGGCAATTTGATCGAAGGACTACCCATGATGGATACCTAAACCGATACAGCTTCATCAAAGATGATCGAAATGTGATACTTGCACCCCTATCACCCCACCAAGTGTTCCATGAGCAGCTTCAAATTAAGAAGTCGAGTGGGGAGAATTCAAAAAAAAGTGAAAAAAAGAATGAGAGAAAAGAGAGTCTAGAAAAAGAAAAGAATGAGAGAAAAGAGAGTTTAGAAAAAGAAAAGAATGAGAAAAAAGTGAGTCAAGAAAAAGAAAAGAATGAGAGTTCAGCGAAAGAAAAAAAAGAGGGGAAGAAAAATAATTTTCTTGTGAGAGAGGAGCTCAGTCCAAGGCCAATGATATTGTTCTTATACAAGGAGGCATATCTTTCTAACTTTAACTCGACTTTGCCTAGTGTTGTGATTTCTCTTTTACAGGAATTTAATGACGTGTTTCCCGAAGAGATGCCACCAGGATTACCACCAATACGAGGGATTGAACATCAGATTGATTTCATACCAGGAACACCAATCCCGAATCGAACAGCATATAGGAGCAATCCGAAAGAATTCAATGAGTTGCAAAAACAAATCGGTGAGTTACTCAACAAAGGTTATATTCGAGAAAGTATGAGTCCATGTGTTGTGCCCGTATTGTTAGTACCTAAGAAAGATGGTACTTGGAGACTATGTGTTGATTGTAGGGCTGTGAATAAGATAACGATAAAATATCGTTACCCTATTCCTCGTTTAGATGACATGCTTGATGAATTGCATGGTTCCACAATATTTTCTAAGATTGATTTGAAAAGTGGGTACCATCAAATTCGCATGAAAGAAGGTGACGAATGGAAAACGGCATTTAAAACCAAAGGTGGATTGTATGAATGGTTAGTAATGCCATTTGGTTTATCGAATGCACCTAGCACTTTTATGCGCCTTATGAACCATGTCTTGCGTGCTTTTATTGGAAAATTTGTTGTTGTATACTTTGATGACATTCTGATCTATAGCAGAAGTGAGCATGATCATTTGAGTCACTTAAGATGTGTTCTTGAAGTGCTGAGACAAGAGAAATTATATGCTAACCTTAAGAAGTGCAACTTTTTCTTGGATAGCGTTGTGTTTCTTGGTTTTGTTGTCAGTTCTAAGGGAGTAGAAGTGGATGGTGAAAAGGTAAAGGCCATCCGAGATTGGCCCACACCTACAACCGTATCGGAGGTTCGTAGTTTTCATGGACTTGCAGGATTTTATCGTCGATTTGTGAAGAATTTTAGTACTATCGCTGCTCCTTTAACTGAGATCATCAAGAAAAATGTGGGATTTAAGTGGGAAAAGGAGCAAGAGAACGCATTCAACACTCTGAAAGAAAAGCTAAGTTCTACTCCTTTATTGGTTTTACCGGATTTTTCAAAAACATTTGAAATCGAATGTGATGCTTCTGGAATTGGTATCGGTGCAGTTCTTATGCAGGAGAAAAAGCCTATTGCTTACTTTAGCGAGAAACTCAGCGGCGCAACTTTGAATTACTCCACGTACGATAAAGAACTGTATGCATTGGTGAAAGCTTTTGAGACATGGCAACACTACTTGTGGTCTAAAGAATTCATAGTCCACACCGATCATGAGTCTCTGAAGCATTTAAAGACACAAAACAAGCTGAATCGAAGACATACACGTTGGATCGAGTTCATCGAGATGTTTCCTTATGCGATCCAATACAAGCAAGGCAAGGAAAATGTTGTGGCTGGCGCATTATCGCGTAGGTATACTCTTATCTCAACTCTTGATGCCAAACTATTAGGTTTTGAATTCTTGAAAGAGTTATACTTGCATGATCATGACTTTGACAAAATATTTGTTGCATGTCAAAAGAAAGCATTTGAAAAGTTTTATCGACATGATGGCTTTTTGTTTCGTGAAAATAAGCTTTGCATTCCACAAAGTTCCATAAGAGAGTTGCTTGTTGGTGAAGCTCATGGGAGAGGGTTGATGGGGCATTTTGGAGTTGCCAAAACATTAGATGTTTTGAAAGAACATTTCTTTTGGCCTCATATGAAACGTGATGTCAAGAAAATTTGTTCACGATGCATGACGTGTAAGAAAGCTAAATCTAAAATCCAACCACATGGACTTTACATGCCATTGCCTGTTCCTAGTCATCCATGGACCGACGTATCAATGGATTTTGTGTTGGGATTGCCTAGGACTAGAACCGGTAAGGATTCAATCTTTGTGGTCGTGGATCGATTTTCAAAAATGGCTCATTTTGTTCCTTGTAAAAAGACGGATGATGCAACCCATGTGGCTAACCTCTTCTTTAAAGAGGTGGTGCGTTTGCACGACATTCCTAGGACCATTGTGAGTGATCGTGATGTCAAGTTCCTCAGTCACTTTTGGCGTATTTTGTGGGGTAAGTTGGGAACGAAATTATTATTTTCCACTACTTGTCATCCACAAACTGACGGACAAACAGAGGTTGTAAATCGAACCTTGGGAACCTTGTTGCGTGCAATCCTTAAGAAAAATTTGAAATCCTGGGAGGATTGCATTCCGTTCATTGAATTTGCATATAACAGAGTTGTGCATTCTTCTACTAAGTTTTCTCCATTTGAGGTCGTTTATGGCTTTAATCCACTAACCCCGTTGGACTTGGTTCCATTACCTATTGGTGAGATTGTAAGCCTTGATGGAAAGCGTAAAGCAGATTTGGTGAAAAAAATTCATGAAGACGTGAGGCAACACATTCTACAAAAGAACGAGCAAACTGCAAATCGAGCCAATAAAGGGAGGAAACACGTCACCTTTGAACCAGGAGATTGGGTTTGGTTCATTTTCGAAAGGAGAGGTTTCCAACCCAACGAAAGTCGAAGCTGAGTCCACGTGGGGATGGACCATTTCAAGTCTTGGAGAAAATTAATGACAATGCATATAAGCTCGACTTGCCAAGTAAGTATGAAGTGAGTTCGACATTCAATGTTTCTGATCTTTCTCCTTTTGATATTGATGTAGATTCGAGGACGAATCTTTTTGAAGAAGGGGAGGATGATACGAGCTCAAGGACAAATTCCAATAACGAGCATGAGGATGAGCTTTACGTTTCGATTGAACCGATCTCGGGAGCACGAGCCAAGAACTTCGGGAAAACATTGCAGAATTTATGGGCGATCAGTCAAAGTAAAGAGCGTATTTCGAGAGTCAACATACGAGAGTCGAGGATGATGTTGGTGATTACAAAAGATTGACTTCATTTACAAGCCTCGAAATCACGCGTCTCGTTACTTGAAGTCAACTTAACTACCATGGTTGATTTCAAGGAAGACACTTTTATTATTTTCTTATTTCCTAAGTTTTCTTTTACCTATATAAACCTATTGTTATGCTTGGTTTAGGGACACATTTTGAGATTAAGAAACTTGTGAGATTATTCTCCAACTTGTTCGTTTTGAACTTTGCTTTAAGAATTGCAAATCTTTGCTTGTAGTTCTTAAACTTTTATAATATTGGTTCCTATCTCTTTATAGATAGCGGATCAATATTCCTTTACTCTATAATATTGGTTTCTATCTCTCTTTATAGATAGCGAGTCAATATTTCACTTTTCCTATAATATCGGTTTCTATCTCTTTATAGATAGTGGGTCGATATTCCATCCATCACCAAAACCTTTATCTTGGCCGATCTTACTTTGTTTCATATATTGTTGTCGGGTTTCGTGACTAGTTCCGCGAGGTTCACATCATACACCTATATTCATATGCAATCTAATCGTGCAAGTTAATGCAAAAAGCAAGCGACCGATGGAGTGATCTTCCACGGTGTTAACTCTCGTCTAGTGTGGAGTATAAAAAGAGTAAGTGTGTTACCTCTTCCGCTTCTTTTTGTTGTGATCTAATGGGCCCTATGCAATGTGAAGGAAACATGAAGCTTTGATACCCCTTTTTTGAACTTGGTGGAGGGCGAGAGTTTCCTCCTTCGATCGGGATTGGAACGGATTTGCCTCCACAAAGGATAGGTCAACATTGATGGGGGTTGCATCTCAATGGCTGCTAAAATCCATCTGAAACACACGGAAAATCATCGAAAAATGATCAGAATAAATGAGCGGGTCGCCCAAAAAATGGGCGGTCGCTCAGTGGGGAAAATTTTTGCTCAGAAGAAACGAGCGGGTCCCTCAAAAAATGGACGACCGCTCGTTCTTTTTTTTTTTTTTGATGAGCTGGTCGCTCATAAAATGGGTGATCACATCCCCTGTTTTTCGACGCACAACGGATCTTTCCTCGCACTCGTGTATCTGATAAAAGAGGTTGTTACGAGGGGATTTTGGAGGCTTGATTAAGAAAAGGAAAAAGAAACAAAGAGGTTGAAGAATGTACTTCCCGGTATGAACCGGGTTGCTAGATAAGGTCGTAGCTAGACCGCAATGCGGTTCAATCAATTAAAGAGAGGGAGTGTAATACCCCGATTCCCGTATGAAATATTTAAATTAGTTTCGGAAATAAAAGGAAGGTAAATCAAACAAAAAAAACATAGAGAATATTTCAACGAAGATCTAGAAGAAAACGACACTCGATTTGACTGAGAAACGAGGAAGTTATGAACAAAAGAAAAATGAGTAGAACCCGGAATTCGGAATTCGCGAGTTATTTGAGGTACGGACGTTTCGAGTTGTGCCTCATCGTGTAAACATGAGTTTTCAATAATCTACTGATTGGACATGCAAGAGGACGTTCCAAGGAAGGTGTAGAAACAAACGGTGCGCGATTCGGGTAAGAAACGAGTGAGAACGGAGCAATCGAAGTCAGTCGAAACGGACCAGAAATGCAGAACGGACGGACTGGCAAAGGCAGAACGGACGGACTGCTAAAGGCGGAACGAACGGACCACGAACGAGCGAGGAGCTGGGCCGAAACTAGGCCTAGACCGTGCGTTCCAGGCCCAGAACGGACGGTCTGCTGGGCAGAACGCAAGTGCCCAACTTGCTGCCTTGGGACACGTATTTCTCTGCGTTCCCAGACCCCACCAGCGTCAAGTCGCCGACCAATCTATTCAGGGTGATGCAGGCTCGACCTTGGGTCTGGTCTTGAGCCCATTCGACCTCCCTCTCGCAGCATAAACCTCTCCCAAGGCAGGGGTTGCACCATTTTCGGACAAAATCAAAGAAAAGAGAGGGAGAGGAGAAACAGAGAGAAAGGGGCGAAAACCAGGGAGAATCAACGCAAGGGAAGCTCGAGAACACGAAGGAGGACATCCCTAGAGTGTCTAGAAGAGGTTTCCGGCAAGGAACAGATCGGAAAACACCTCGAAATCCGGCCAAAACCAGATCTGAGCCGAAACAGAGGTGAGTGGCTCGAGTTGTGTCTGTGTGAGCTCGTTTTCGTCGATGTGATTGTGTTATTTCGATGGTTTTTGCTTGGATTAGATAGAGGACATTTCAATAAACATTTAGCAACAAACGACACATAATTTGGTGGAGAAATGAGTGAGATATGGCCAAACGAAGTCGGACCAGAAAACTGTTTCGCGAGAGAGAACAGAGCTGGAACGGACGGTCTGTTTTTGCAGACCCGACGGTCTGGGTGACCCAGACCGGACGGTCTGGCATCCCCAGACCGAACGGTCTGCGTTCTAGACCTCAAAAATTGTCCCGAGAGGCCCCGGGACAGCACGAGACCCCTGGACCGACCGATCTACACCCTAGACCGACCGTTC